GATGAAGTTTCACAGTTCACCATGTTAATTTTAAAGAGCCAAAGCATGGACAAGAAGCCATCACAGTCATTCCTCACGACGCCCGTCTGGGCGATTTCAATGCCTCATTGCCCAAAAAAATGTGCCTCAATTTACTTACTTTTCAATAGAAGTGATCGCAGCTCCGATTGAGGTCACTATTTTATGGTTTGGAGAAGACAAAAGCCTCTTTGTGCCTTGAAAGCCCGCGAAGTCGGGGGCATGCCGTTGTCGGAGGCTGGCAGAAGTGCCAGAGTACCCGGCCGCTCCCAGCACTGTGGAAGAGACCAGGAGACAAATTAAACGCCTGCTCACACATCCGGGCAGGCAACACGACATGTGACCCCGCTTCTGCTGCTTGAGCATTTCCTGTTGCGAAAAAAAGGGTGAGAGTGGGCTGTTATGTCCTGGGCCTTGTCCCCCTGCGCGTTGCATCTGTGCGGGTTCCTCGCTCGCGTTCGACTCGCCAGGGTACAACCCTCTGCCCCGTCACTTGAAGTGAAAGCGACAGGCACTCCTGGCAATCAACGACGAAGAAAAGTTGTTGGCAAAGATGTCTCAACATGTCAAGAGTCCTTACCCTTTCCCGCCTCGTCGCGAGAAACATTGCCCGCCGCCTTCCTTCTTGTGCAGGGAACAAACTCGCTTGTCTTGTCCGCCCGATTCCACGTCTCCATGGCACGTTTACATCAATCAACATACGTGCAACGGTCTCACACTTTTCATGATGAACAAAGCGTAGGGCATGGAGGAGCAAAATGGAGTACAGAGACAGTCGAATTCGGCACACGACCCTGCTACTCCGTCCTTGGCCCCCTCCTCCTCCTCGTCCTGGCCTCGACAACACACCAGTTGGGAGAGTAGCACGAGTGAAAGCTCATCCACGACATCTTACCCCACGGCATGCTCAGTCATTACACCCAAAGGCAAAGAAGGCCGGCTCAAGTTTGAGTACGACGGGCGGACCATATATGAGTGGGAGCAGACCCTGGAAGACGTGAGCATCTTCGTCACCCCTCCATCGGGGGTCAAAGCCTCCATGCTCCGGTGTACCATCGCTTCTTCGCATCTGACGTTAGGGCTGAAAGAAGCAGGGCACCCTTTCATTGATGAGGCAACTGGCGGATCCGTAAAAGCGGCTGAAAGCTTTTGGACACTGGAGGACGGTGAGCTGCACGTATTGCTTCAAAAAGCAAAGAAAGGGGAGGTGTGGCCGAGCGCTCTGGCAGGCCGGGGCTCGTTGGACCCCGTGACGAGCGAGAGTGTGCGAAAGCAACTCATGCTTGAGCGCTTTCAAGAGGAGAACCCTGGCTTTGACTTCTCGAACGCCGAATTCAATGGCGCGGTGCCCGATCCAGAGACGTTTTTAGGCGGAGTAAAATACAATTGAAGACAAAAACGACACGCACGAAATAACCTTAAGCATGGAAGTAAAAACAACAAGCATGCTTTGTTCCCGCACTCTCATTCAAATGTGTTTACATCACGGTGCACACATCTGGCGTGGCGTATAGAGACTTTGCCGGCCACCACAAGATGACCTACCCTACACTCATGCCCTCTAACGGACAGTTAATCGACATTCGCCCCTGTTTCTATCGTACCAGTATAGATTTATTATCATGGGTCCGACGTCCATTCCTCCTCCCGGAACACACGCGGAGTCAACCCTAATTCACATTTTCTCACCATCCCACTGAGCGTGCTCCTCACGTCTCCAAGTAGCACAGCTGGCGGACCCTCCTCTACGCATCTGCCTCGCTCCATGACAAGTACGCGGTCGAAGTCTTGGATGTGCTGCAGGCGATGGCAGATCCAGAGGACCGTGCAGGGCAGGGACAGGATGATTTTGTGGATGATGGCGTCCGTTTTCAGATCGATAGCCGAGGTGACCTCATCACAGAGCATTACCGGAGCCAAGTGGAGAAGAGCGCGTGCAATGCATAGCAGCTGCCGCTCCCCCTCGGAGAATTCTAAGGTCCTTAAGCGCGTGTCAAGCCCCCGAGGCAAGGCCCGCACCGACTGCGCCATGCGTACCGCCTCCAACGCCTGCCAGACCTCGGCCTCCCTCGCCTGCATCTCCTTCCCCTCCATCGCTTCCCGACCGACCAGGGCGTCCATTAGAGTGGTCCCGAACAAGGTGGGGTGTTGAGGGATGAGGCGCACCCAATGCCGCAGGCTTTTCAAGGAGAAGCGCGAGACTTCCACCTTTTCCACGGCAAAGCTCTTGCTGGACTCCACATGGTAGAAGCCCAACAAAGCCTGGAAGATGGAGCTCTTCCCAGCACCTGTCCGACCCACTATTGCGACCTTCTCGCCCGCCCTCACGCCCAGACAAAACCCGCGTAAAGTCGGGCTCGAGCCCCGCTCGCCATAGCACAAATAGATTTCATGACCCTCCACGCCTGCAGCCGTGGGCAGAGGCAATGCAGCAGGTTCTTTTTGTGCACTGACGTGTGAAGATTCCCCTTCGGAAGTGCCGTTCTCAGCATTCACCTGCCCACAGTCTGAGGCCTTTCCTACAAGACTTGTCTCGGGCTTCAGCCTCACGTACTGAAAAACGCGCTCGACGGAAATGAATTCAATTTCAGCCATAAAGTAGACCTTAAGAAGCCATCCGAGGTTGTTTGGCACAAGCACTGCATAGCTCATGAGCAAGCCCATTTTCCCTCCGTCGATATGGCTGGCTAGAACCTCCGGAGCTTGCGGACCCGTCACCCAAACGGCCAGCACCCCGCAAAAGAGCATGAAGAGCGTGCCGACCATCTCCAGCCAGATCGTGACCCACTGGTTCGCCACCCATTTTATCCAATAGGATTGGATGGAACGCGTGGAGAGCGCAAGGTGGGCGTGGAAGAAACGCTCTTGGGCACCGAAAGCACGAATCGTAGACGCGCCGCGGACAGTCTCACCATACTGCGTGTTCACTGGGCTCTTGCTCACGGCCTCCAAGCGACGGAGATCGCGGGCAGGCCATCGGTAGTACTGACTAATCGCACGGTAAGGCATTGCAAGGAGCACGACCACAGGCAACATCTCAGGCAAGGCGTAACACAGAATCGCCAAAGTCGCCCCGAAGTAGAGGAGCTGTTGGAAGAAGTCGGCGAGTGTGGAAGGAACAATACCATCAATGGCTGCCTGGTCGGCGATGAAACGGTTCAAGATGCGTCCTGAAGGTTGCCGGTCAAAAAAACGCATGGGTGCCCTCAAAATTGCTCTCAGCATGGCTCCGTGCAAGACATTCCCCGCCGTCACCGCACCGAAGATCAAAACGAGAATGCGCACTGTTGTGATGACGCACAAAGCGGCTCCCAATCCTATGAGAGCCGTCACCTCCGCTGCCTGTATGGAGGCGCTTTCGGCCCCGCTCTCAGCGCCAGTCAAGTGGGAGAGCCAGAACCACTGGAGCACATTGCAAGCCTGCTCCGTGATCAGTAGCCCTAGTACGAATCCCACGAAGGTCAAGCTGTCAAACCCTCCAAAGCGCCTCAGATACATTACAAGCAGCCGCGGCTCGATACCCCCTTGCCGCCGCTCCTCCCAGTCGTTGAAGGCCTGCACTTTCATGCCTGTATACTCCTCAGGACCCCAAGCTCCCTTTTCGCTGTCCACCTCGATCTCTCCAGCGCATTCGCCTCCGTCAGTGGAACCAGCCAATCCGCCTTCAATTCTCCTTTCCGCGAAAGAAAAATGCGACTTCGCTCCCAGTCCCCCTTCCAGCGTCTCGTGACGACCTTCTTCCTCCTCCCCAACTAAGTGTAAGGCATGTGAGCTTCCGAGGGGCACATCCCGCCTGGGACCGACACCTGTCCGTCGGCCGTCGCTATTATCGTGGGCCAAGACAGCGTCGACAACTTGCTGGTCTTCCGATGCCACAAGCTCATTATACACACCCGAAGCCCTGAGACGACCACAGGCGTCAAGCACGACAATGCGGTCGACGGCCGGGTGGTGGATGAAGTGGGTCTGGTGTGTGACCACGACCCGCGTCTTGCCGCGCAGAAAATCCACCAGACACTCGTCCCAAATGCGTCGCCCGACGCTCACATCCAGGCTTGAGAGTACATCGTCAAACAAACAAATATCCGGGTCGCTGTAGAGGGCTCTCGCCAAAGATATTCGCTGGCGTTGTCCCCCGCTCAAGGCAATGCCGCTCTCACCCACCTCCATCATTTCCCCGCCCTGCACGGCCAGCCCCTGGAGATCTTGCAGGAGACCGCAACGCCGTATGACTTCACGGAATCGATCCTGCTTGTAACCGAGTGCTGCACCAAAAACGACGTTGTCCCGGATAGTCGTGTTCTGTATCCAGGGCGTTTGCTCCACCAAGGCCACCTTCCCATGCACCGCCCACCTTACGCCCGGCACATCTTTGACCTGTATAGTGTCCCCTACAAGGCTATGCAGCAGCGTACTCTTCCCCGCACCTACGGGCCCGACTACCACCACGAATTCACCGGCTTTCACGCGCAATGTCACGTCTTGAAGCGTAGGGGGGGACTCGTTGCCCTCTCGAGTCCAGGCAAAGGAGCACTCCGACATCTCCACGGCCAAAGCTCGACGCACGCATGATTCAGGAACAGAGGGTGACAACGGAGATAAGGCAACGCTCGGCGTCGATGAAGAATTTTCGAGCGCGTTGTGAGGAGCAGCATCCTCAGGGGGCTGCAATGCGGACACCTCCTCCGAGAGGAATAATTCTTCCAACCGTGCCCAGGAGACCAAACAGTCCATGAAAGAGGTAAGCGCACTGGGAAAGCAGTTCAGTGGGCGTTTCAATAAATTAAACCACGCCAAGGATGTAAATGCCACCGCAGCAGTCAACGGCTCCTTCTCCCATAGGATTCTGCAAGCGAAGGACACCAGAGGACCCATCACTTGAGCAAGCTGCGCAAGGGCATTGTTGCCACCGAAACAGGCCGACCGCTGTATTTGAGCCTTTACCTCTCGTTGACGCGCCTGCTTTATAATCGAGTTCGCGAAATCTTCCCATTGTAAAGATTTTACAAGGCGAATTGATTCTAAAACTTCCGCCATGACGCTGGCACGGTTGTCGCGCTCGCGCTGTATATGCATCGCTGCTTTCTTCCCACGCAGTCCCAGCAAATAGCCAAGCGGCCAAAACACGACGATTATTATAACGCCGACGAAAGAGGATGCTCCGAGCAAGGCGTGGAGGGCCACGAGGGAAATGGTCAGCGTGAGTACGGCGCACCAGGTGCCCCAGTGCACCATTGGCACCACGTTTACATCCGCCACCCGGCAGGCGTCAACGCTCATGAGGTTTATCAGCTGCCCGCTCGAATATTTTCGACGGCTTTCAGGCCCCAAGCACAGAGCTTTTCGAAAACACTCGCCCATCAGGGCGCTCTGTGCCCGCATTCCACACCGGACGCCCCAGATCCAAAATTGGTGCTCCGACACGCTCTGAAGGACGGCAAGGGCGAATAAGAGCACCGCTAATGCGTACCCTTTCCCTGCCCCCCCTTTTGCCAGTAGTCCCGCCTCAATGTGCGCGAGCAAACGATTCAGCACCACAGGCACCGAGAGCTGGAGAGCGGTGGCCAGCGTCAAGACAGCCCCACAGACGACAAAGGTCCGCCACTGCGCCGCAAGAAGCACCCGCATGACAAGCCATCCGCCTTGTGGTTTCAGGGAACGCCCCCTTTGTCGAGCGATTTCTGCCCGGCGAGCCCACTCCCGCCTCAGGGCCGCGTGCGTGGTGGCAGGTCGGTCCCCCGGCTCCAGGGCCGGCAAGTCCTCCGCGTCCAGCCTTTTGTTCCGATAGCCCCTGCTCAGCAAGGGGGTAATCCACCAGAATGCCAGGCGGCTCAAAATGCTTGCATCGCTCTCCAATTGCTCTGGCTCGTCCAGATTTATCTTGTCTGCCATGCCCTCTGTTTCCACGCTCTCGTGGGCAGAGCATTCCACTACTGATAAGAGGGGCTCGTGCTGCAAAGCACTGATATCGCATGCTGCGTTTGCGCCAGCTGTAAGCATACCTGATATCCTCCACGACAAGATCCACTGTCCGCCCAAGGCCAGTGCCTCGACAAGGAAGAATACCAGGGGCCCCCACTGCCGCTCGCTCGCCACGACCGGGACGAGTGCTGCCGTCGGAACGCTGGTTACGCCCACCAATTTTCGGACGACATCCAGGCCACGTTGTAGCATTGATGGCTTCATTTCGCTACCTCGATAGCTTCTAACGGGTGCGGGCGGATAGACATAGGTCAAAAAGCTGAGGAAGGCCCAGGTGGCCAGCGTTGCCAGTCCCGCCGCTACATCGACCCCCGAGGCATGGGTGTAGGCGGAAAGTGCCTGCCAAAGTCCAAGCGATACCAAAAGAAGTGCAACCCCATGAAATGCTCTCACAGACGTCGCAGTGCTTCCGGGTTTCCTCGATTTATCGGTTTTTATCGCAGGTCGCGCACTATTGCGTAGGCGCGGGGAGGTTAAGACCAGAATTAGCAATATCACAACAGCCGTTGCGTCAAGACCTGCCTGGATTATCAAGAGAATACGCTTAGATGGGTAGCTCATGGGACTGTCTCAAGCTGGGCTCGAAGCGTCAGACCTATTAGTTTTCCCTAAAGAGATAGCGAAAGCAGCACTTGTACCAGCACGGTCTTTCCCCTCCGCTGCCGCCCAGAAACAGCGAAATAATTACTATATCAGAGACAAGATTTGATTGAAAAGATCAAAAAGATGTCATTTATTGCCTTCCAGGATGATAGGACTTTTAAATCAGTTTTGCCGGTGGCAGGCACATGCTCGATCGGATCACGCCTATGGGTAGAGAATAGGACGGAGGAGGCGAGTGTGCAACGACGACGTGGCCAAAGGTAGTGTGCGCCAATTGCCTAAGTGTATGGTTTGTGGCATGTTTCGCTTGAGGATCATAATGTCATTTTTGAAAGAGATCGGCTGTTTTCGCTGGGAGCTCTCTCCGTAAACCTTTATTAGTACTTCCTTTGCGTGTGCTTGAGGTCAAGAAGCGAGAGAAAGGCGATAGGCCAAGATATCTAAGCAAAGTGGCACGTTTGGTGGGGCAAGGCAAGCACAGGTTTTCCCCACGGCTTCGAAAAAATGTTGTGATCATTGTTCAAGTAACGAAACGCATCTTTATTGTAGGTCACGTTCGCAGTCCGAAGAAAGGCAAGTTGAAGGCAAGCAACGAGGAAAAGGACAAAGGGAGCAAGACCAGGGCTCAGCCGACCCTGCTGCCGCCTCTTCCCCTCCCCATGGTCGAGGTGCTTCCTAAGGCGTGGCGGAGAAGAAAAAGGAAACGAGTGGAGGATGACAAGTGTTGGTATGCGCCTTATAGTCCGCCGCCTTCGACGGCCGCCTATATAACGTTACCCCTCCATCCACTTTTAAGAATCCCTCTACTTCTGCTACACCTCCTGCTTCTCCTCGCTCCCTACACTACCGCCTTCGTACATCCAACGCGGTCATCCTTCGGTGCGTTGTCATGTTCCCCTCACAACCCCACGCAAGGCCCCACATTTGCCACGAAGTCTGTGATAACAAAGAGACCAAGGCAGAATGGCCCGCAATTCTCTCCGTTCACGTTTCCGTTCGGGAGCACCTGTCTTCGTGTTGGGCTGCAAGCTCAAGGGACAGAGGTGAGCAGAGATATAATAGCGGTAGCTCGGAGTAAAGCTGACCTATTTGAAGATTTGCAGAGCCATGCCCGACGGAAAGAGGCTTTCGAGACGCTTTGGAACTCGGACTTCGAGTTCAGCAAGTCCGAATACCAGGACTTGCTCAAGGCCTGCTTCCGGCTCGGTTATGTCAATCCTTTTAACGATCTGGTGGACGAGATCCAGCGCCTGAACGTGCCCATTGCGCTGGAGACATGGACGGCGTGTATCTACATCGCCTCATCGCAAGACTTCTTCCGGCTCGGCATTGCCTGCCTCAAGCGGATGGTTCACTGGGGCGTGCGCCCGGACAGCAAGGCCATCAACCAGGTCATGGCCTGTTGCGAGAAGAAGGGCCGCGGGGAAGAGGCGATGCGTCTGTTTTTGTTCATGCGAGACCACGGGGTCGAGGTTCCGCCGTTGACGTACTGGGCATTGGCCTCTCTGCTCTCCTGCGGCGGTCGGTGGGAGGATTTCAAAATTGTCGAGGAAGACTTGCGCAAGCGGGATTTTCCGGAGAGCATCAAAGAACGCTTTTACTCGACGGCTGTAGTGGCACGCTCGGGTGCCAGGGACTGGAAAGGCTCTCTTGATATGCTCCGGCGCATGCGCGAGTGCGGGGCGGTGCCAAGCATCCGCGGGTTTACCACGGCCTTGAGCACCTGCATGGCCGCGGGGGCCTACCAGGCGGTCAGGGACTTTGTGGAGGAGGTTCAGGGATGGGCGATATTCGACCTGGACGTGGCCACCTACAACGTGGTGATCAATTCCTACGCCAGCGAGCGCGACCTTGAGGGGGCTCTGGCGTGGTTTGAGAAGATCTACGAGGCCGGGCTGCGGCCCTCCCTCATATCATACTCCACCATCTTCAAGGTGTGTGCATCCACGAAGCGCGGCGACCTGGCCCTGACTTTTCTGGACCGGCTCGTCAGGGAGGAGGATCTGCAGCCGAGCCTCGTCACCCTCAATCACGCCCTCCAAGCCCTGACCGCCAGTCAGGAGCATTTCGACGACGCTCGTCGCCTCCTGGAGACCATGGAGGCACGCTTCGGCGTCGCCCCCAACGCCTCCACCTACACCTCTCTGCTCCGCGCTGCCAGCGAGAAAGGAGACGCGCGGCTGGCTCTAGAATTGTACCACCGCATGAAGGACGTGGCCGTGTTGGCGCCGGAGCCCAGGTCGATATGGGAAGTCACGGTGGCCTGCACGAAGAGCCGCTTCTTCGAGCCGCTCGAGGAGCTGGTGGATGATTTGATGGCCCTGTCAGAAAAGGTGCTGGCTGGCGATCGACAAGACCATGTCGGCCCCGCGGGGGGGGCGGTGGCGTCAGTGCCCGCCCTGCCTGGCACAAGCGAAGGAGGGGGAAGTGGAGAAGGAGCATTAGGCGGGGGTGTACCTCCTCCGAACAGCAGTCGAAAGTACGATCCAACCCGTTCGCTCCTGTACGCCTACAGCGCGCTCATGTCAGGTCTGGAGAAGGCCGGCGAAGGGGAACTCGCTCTCCGCCTCCACGCGCACATGCAGGCCCAGGGGCTGGAGGCGGACACCGCGACGATCGTCCGGCTTCTGGAGGCCCTGAACAAGGGAAGGATGCCAGAGCGCAGTTTAAAGATCTGGTCCGACCTGGAGGGTCGCCGAGAAGATGTTCGACGTAACGTGAACGTGACCAACGCTGTCCTGAGCGCCATGGCCGCCGTTGATCCCTTGGCCGCCGTCGAGTTCTTCCACGACATGCGCGACCGGGACCAAGTAGACGACCGGTCCTACACCTATGCCTTCACGGCGTACGACAACTTGGGCGACATCACCGGGGTTCAACGGCTGTGGGAGGAAATGCGAGTCCGAGGCCTGACCTTCGACCGGGTCTCGTATGGCTCCTTGTTGCGGGCGCTGGCCCACGCCGGGGAGGTGAAGCAGGCGATGGAGGGGCTCAGGCACTCAGAGAATGTGGGGGTGCCGCTCAATAACTACACCATTGCGCTCACTTTGATCGGGTGCAAGCGGACGCGGCAGTGGAGCACGGCCTTGAGCATGCTTCGCGAGCTCCGGGATGAGAGGGGGCTGTCGCTGAACGTGGTGTGCTACAACTCCGTCCTAACGGTTTGCAACGCGGCTGGCCAGTGGCGAGCCTGTTTGCGGCTTTTGGAAGAAATGGGAGAGCATCAAGTTGAGATCGACTACACCTCCCTGCGGGTGACCCTCAATGCGTTGGCCTCCGCGGGTCGCTACAATGAGGTCGTGAGTCTTTACCGGCGCCACGAGGAGCTTGACGGCGTGCTGGCACGGAAGCTCGACACCTTTGCATTCCGTCTCATCGCTAACGCCTTCATTAAAGTGGACCCTGTTGCGGCAGTATCTATGATAAAGAAGCACGTACAAAGGTTCTCGGGGGGAGCGGTGCGCTCTGGCGCCGGTGACGTGCCAGTAGGGTCATCGCAGCCCGGTAGACATCAATATCACAGGTCATCAGCTGGGAGTCCTGCGCGCCAGTTCAGGAGGGGCCAAGAGCAGTCGACCGCCCTGGTAGATTCGAGACTGTATAAATCTCTCATCACGGCGTTGGGACACAAAGGGGAGTGGGAGCAGGCCGTGCAAGTCCTCCAGGCTCTGGAACCCCCCCTGCGAGACATTTCAACGATTTCTGCGACTGCCAGCGCCTTACTTCGCTCTGAGCAGTACAGTCGCGCGCGTGATTTGTTGCTTGAGGCGGAAGAAACGGTGCCAGGCGCCCAGTTCGACGGCGTGGCCGACTCGTTGGGGCTGCAGGCCGCGTACATGGCAGAAGATTATGCGCAGGCAGGGCTCTACCTGGACAGGTTGATTCAGGCTGGTAACCACGGAAACTCCAGCGCAAACTTTGGTTTCTGCTTGCTGGCGAAACAGGGGAAGTGGCAAGAGCTCTCGACGCTCTTGCTCGACATTTCTAGGCTGCAGGAAGAGCATGGAAGGCGATACATCGTGAGCCGGACAACCTTAGAGACCTTCGCGAACTTGACGTCATGGACGCTGGACTCGGAAGCTCCTGGTGGAATGGTCAAGTCCCTGAACGCGGAGGGATCCGAAGGGGAGATGGAGCACGTTGAGCCAGCTGTCTTGGCGAATATTATGGAGACTGTGTGCAAGATGAGTGAAGCAGGGAATCTTGAAAACGCGACTCTAGGCTTCGCAGGAACGCAAAGTGGCATGAACTCGCAAACGTTCGCAGAGTTGACCAAGGAAAAGTCTGTCCAGCAGGTCGGTTAGACGCGAAAAGTAAAATAGGATAGTCTGGACTGTCCCAACGTGGTGGTGCGGACAGGTTCGTGAAAAAGAATGGCATAGGTGACTGCGTGTAATCAACGAGCCGGCATTTAAAGAAGGGAAACGATAGTGTCGTTGGAACGACACGAAAGTAATGATTTAATGTTGATGTTTCGGCATGTGAAATGTGAAGTTGCTCGTCCAGCTGGAAGCTGCTCGTTTTCTTTCGACGCGAAACGTTAACTTCTTCACATCATCGTAGCTTTTTGTCGAGCTCATAGAGGTCATACAATTAAACACCTCTCCGTTTTTCGACAGAAATCTCAGAGACAAAAAGCGCCAACATCCCAGCGTCTCGTCTTTCTCCTTCAATTTCGAACAAAATAGAGGCTGGCTTCGACTGGCGGCTAGCAAGGACGTGAGACAGAGAAGAAGTCCTAGGGGCTCGCGAGCCGCCTTCCGCTGCCACGTCACATGCCCCGCTGGGTACGTCTGGAGTGGCATGCGCATTACACGGCGGGTAAAAGTAGACCGCGTGCATTGGAAGCAAGCTGTATGTCCCATGTCTAGTGACAGGTCCCATTTGCGGTCGCCGTGGCGCTCTCGGTATTCCGTCAGGGCGGACATGCATTTTAAGCCAATGGGAGGGCACAACCGGGCCACGCAAACCCGCTGCTCCTGCCGGTTCCTGACACCGAGCGAGCCCTTGCGGTGAAATCCCCCAGGTAGACCTTAGAGGAGGGCCTTTTAATTGTGCCGCGGTACTTGCAGGGTGTGCAATCTGTTTCCTCTCTTTTTCGTGGCTATCACGGTCGAGGTAGACATTTTTTATCCAATCCCCGAGCTCACCGTCTGCATTCCCAGCGCAGCCTCCGCGTCGAATCGCGCCCTGCGTCACGTATGACCCTGTTCTTTTCGCAACTCAGGAGGATTTTCTCCCTTTTATGTGATCAAAACACCGCCACAGCAATCAAGAGCCCTGACAACATCAGTTTTGGATGCTTGGTTCCTTGGTTACGAGCTGAAGGTCAAAAGTCTTTCGACAGCTCGGCCGAGAGCAGCAGGATCAGGATCTAGCAGGTGCAAGAGCAACACACGAAAGCAAGCTTTGGACACAGTCATGAACGACAACCTGGAATCTTTCCGGTCTGATGCAGAGGATGCCAATGAATTTTTCGATATGGAACCCGAGGATGCCTCCAAGGTAAGTGGTAGTAGCAGACTTGTTCTCTCAACGAAGTGCGACTCGCGGTGCTCGATGTGGATCGCTAAGATGGCAAGATTTATGGTGGTGTCTCAGGGGAATTAATCGGCCAAAACGATGTCCTCGTCTTGCCCAACAGCAGGAGGTGGGCCTGCCAATGGTATGCGAGGAGAAGGAAATACTCGGAAAGGAGAAACGTCTTGAATGCGAGGACGCAGGCGACGAGGAGGGGGAGGACGACATCGAGGTCATGGACGAAGACGATTCTGTCGCATCTATATGCGTTGATGAAGTTTTCGCTGGTAAAGATGCTGCTGAAGCCCCTTCGGCGCCTGTGCGGCGGCACTTGAAGGTGCGTAGCGTATGTGAGGGCCTTCGTCATGCTCGTACGGCACTTCCCAGGAAGCGCGAGCCCGAGGAGGGCAATTTAGGGTTGGTGCGACACCACGATCATCCCCAATGAACTCGCGATACTAAGAAGTTAATGTGGATGCCTTCTTGTATCTCCTTTTTTCTATGAAACGACAGCGCAAGGCCGCTCTGAAAAAGGCGCCCGGGGCTCCCAAGCGCTTTAAGAGCCCCTACATCCTTTTTTCGATCGAGTGTCGAGAGGCCATCAAACGCCAACTTCCCTCCCAAGCTAAAGTGACTGAGATCATGAGCAAAATCGCCGAGACGTGGCGGAAACTCTCGGAGAAGGAGCGGCGGCACTGGGAGGCCCTGGCAGAGAGGGACCGGGCAAGGTACGACTCGGAAATGTCCCGCTACCAAGGGCCTTTAAAGGTGCCCAGAGTCCGTCCACGCCGCTATCCTGACCAACCCAAACGGGCAACGTCGGCGTTCATGCAGTTTGTGCGTTCCGTGAAAGCCCGGGTGCGACAGCAACACCCGGAGATGAGCAACAGCGAGATCATGAAGATGCTTACTGAACAGTGGAGGAGCGCGAGCAAAGAGGATAAGCTTCCTTTCCTCGAGAAGGAAAGAGAGGAACGGGCGATCTATAAAACAGCCATGGAGCAGTGGCAAAAGGAAACGGGGCGCGTCGCGGACGACGCCTCCCACGCGCCAGAAGAGGGACGGGCCATGTCCATGCTCCCCTCCCCTGGAACGGAGGGAAGAGAGAAAGCTTCGATGCCGGAGCAGGGTATAACCACCACGGTCTCAATAAGAAGTACCAAGGCGAAGGCGCGTGTTCCACCGCCCCCGGTCACCGACGGTCATTGGCCCTCAAGTCGCTCTGATGCACTGCCGGCGTGTGAGCCTGTGTTTCCCGAGCGACACGAGCACGCCCCGGCGGCCCAGCCAGCGCCCTCGATTTGCTCGCAGACCGGCCTGGGCCTACCCACCTTGAAGGCCCAACACCAGGAGCAGCGCCAGCAACAGCAAGCCCGGCAACAGCTGGCAAGGGAACAACAGGAAAGGGAACACCGTTTGCAGCAGCAACAGTTAGAGCAAAAGCAGCTACGCGAGCAACGAGAAAACAAGCGCGAACATCAGTGGGAGCGAGATGGGCAGGTCGCGGAATACGAGGACGACTCCTTTCTCATGGATTACTTGAACGCCGCCCATGCCTCGTTTGCGATTTATGACAACTTTATGCGTGGCATTGAGACGGAAGCTGCTGCGGCGTTGGCCATCTCGTCCCAGAGGGTGAGCAGCGTGAGTGCTTACGCGAGCAGCAGTGGATCTACCCGAGGTCAGAATGAAACTACGCGCGTGGCATCGAAGCCACCGGGGTCCTCATCGTCTTTCGCGTCCGGGGATTTATCGCGGAACTCGAACGAATGGATTTCCGGTGGAGATTCCTGGAAGGATCATACGTCATCGCCTCTCAAACAGGAGCCAGGTAGCGATGTGAAGGGGTTCAGATCCGCCCGCTCTCCTGCAACCAGTCCGGTCGATTCATGCGGCGCTCTCAGTGACTCTTCCGCCGCCTCGGCGCTGGAAAGCCACGGCAGTTGTCGTTTTCGTAGCCGCGACGAGGCAAGTGTAGGCGGAGGATGGCCTGCCCGGGGGAAAAAGGGTCCGGACGAGGCGCATCACTCCAGCTCATTTCCGGCCATCGGCGCGGCCTCTTCGGTGTCGGGAGAGTCGTCTGTCGCTGGGGATGACGTCGCGAGGAAACCACAGATGGCTTTGGCAACGGGAAGACTATCCACATCAGCCCTACAGACTTCAAAGCCATGCGGAAGGGAAGACATTCCACTGCCGCAAATAGCGCCACACCCACCCGTCGATCTTGGCAAGCGTGCAGTCAGTCCAGAGTCAGGGTCTCCTCTATTTAATCGACCGCGACAAGGGGACCAGCTAAGTAGACCGTTGGAAAGCGCCGCCAGGGGACATCATATCCTTGGCCTGTTGCCAGCAACGCCTTGCTCTCCCAGCAAGTGCGCTCCCCTCCCTGTCGCCGTTGTCGAGGCTGTTCGTCCCTCTTCTTCAGCCGAACGCCATTCTTCGCCTTTTCTTCAGAAGCTCGATGTCGAGGGAAAGGCAATCGAGAGTCAGGGACACGAAAATGAGCATCCTCATCACCCTCCTATGCTTGTGGTCACGACAGCGACGCCCGAGGGCGGGGTTCGACAAACGACATACCAACGACTTCCAGCTGAATGGCCACCCTCCTCCTCCTCATTGAATGCAACTCAAAGTCTCACACGCGAGGAACTTTCTTGAAGGTCCAAGAGATAGTTTGCATACGACGAAGGCGTAGGACTGGCTAGAGGTGAAAGGCAGGAGGATGGTTTGGCGCGGCCATGTCAGCGTGGTAGCATGAATGGCTCCTTGGCAGTGGGCAGTAGCGCACCTGCCTGGGAGTGTGCTAGCATACCAGCCCGATCGTCTTCCGGCGAGTTGACTGTTGAAAAGAGATCTTGAATTTGTAAGAAGCATCGGCGCTTCAATGCACGGTGCAAAGGTCAGCACTCATAGATGCCCTGCATCTCCATACCCAACTTAATGTCCAGTGGAGGCGATGAGATAAGTGTGTGGTATAACCAGCCGCGATAAATTGAAGCACTAGATAATTTGCCAGACAGATGACTAATTTGCCAGACATGTGAGTAAGGCAAGGCCAGAAAAAGCAATGAACGCGATTGATTTCTGGGCTCAGAACTTGACCGGGAAGACTGACCTTTATGTACCAGCAATTCACCTCTTCGCGTCCAGTGCCCTGAGATGCGTAAGATATACTTGGGGGAAGAGAGCTTGTTCTGTTTGCATGACAGAACGATCCGTGATTGCATTTGCTTGCCGATATTGCTGCTCCTCGGAAGGAACGACGACAAGGGTGAATCCGACGAATAAGACCCGTGTGTCTGTCCATCGAATAAAACAAAGCGTTTGGACTGCAAGATGAGAACGACGCATCTATTTTTGTTTCCGACTCAGTCGTGAATTGCTTATCAACCACACATGAAAGAAACCTTACACATGGGAAAAAATGATGGTTACGTATTCAGAAAGTCTCGACTAAAATTTTACATTCGATTAGGTTTGTCAAGACCCTACCAAAATATATTAAACCCTCGACATCTTCTGCAGCCATCTATTTTATCCGAAGGGGAACTACTAAGTTATGCATCAGGAGCAAGGGGCAAAGGCGGAAATCATTTTACATTCATCGCTACCGCTACGAACACTACACGGACTACAATCAGGCGCACTCAGACCTTAAACTGACGCGTTCCCGATTACGCAGTGAATTGCTGTCCTCACCCTACCCAGGCAAGACGATAAATGGTTCTGTTCCAAGGAAAGTGATGGAAAAATAGGTAAACAAGCCAAAAATAAGAGCCTCGCGATCCTCCCCATGAGACTTTCGCGTGTCAGAGGTGTTCAGCAAAGGTTTGTGGTCATACACTTCCATCCGTGAAGTGACTACCTCGTAAATTACCATTTTTAAAAGCATCATGACAGATCTGCACGCCATACTGTCCAAACACCATCAAGAGATGGCTGTCAACGACACACTTAC